GGGGGGGGCGTGTAAAGGCTCCTTTTGAAGAAGATGCCTTGAGGTAGCACTGTGAGGAGTGCCCCAGCGGGCTGGATTATTGCAGTGGGATGTCATGTTGTGGCGCAAATACCACGCTGCAGCGTTCACACATCTCTAGGAAACGAAGTGCCGATGGTGGGGTTTGGCAGAGAAAGTTTGCTTACCGCTGCCAGCAGTCGGATATCTGTCACAACCAAAAATCGAGCTGACGGTAGTTTTAGATACCATCTCACCGTACCTGAATGTCTGTTTTGTAGAAATAGACCTTGTTTTTTCTTAAAAAGCGAGTGATTGATACCTGCTTCTGCACTAGTGATGGCACAGGTTATGTAAGACAGAGCGCTCTACCCTGCGGCGTTTCAGTTGGAGACCATCGCACTGATTGTGGCAGGCAGATGAGAACCCACTCAGATCCAGGTGGGGCTCTGCAGTGTTTGATTATTTTTATTTTTTTTTTCTTTCTTCAAAGTGTTAGCACCTTTAACAGCACTGGAAGGTGCTTTGAGTAAATATTTGTCGCTTTTCTCTGCCTGTGGTTTTGTGGTTCTGGGAAAAAGGCTGCATTTCTTCCCTTTTGCACTTGGGAATTGCTTGTCCTGGCCCAGCCCAGTCCTTTTGCGGGATGAGACTCTTCATGCTTGTGAAAGAGCCCCCCCCGAGGAGGGAGGCAGAGTGGTCCTGCCTTTCCAGAGGGGAACAGTTTCTCCGTGGTTCTTTTGGTAGGATGCAGTGATTTCTAGGACAATTTTATTTATGCTTAAACCTAAACTTCCGAGCCAGCCCGCTGCTTGCAGGTTGGTGCCCTTCCTGGCTCTTGAAAGGCGTTGTTGCACTTTTGCTCAGGCTGTGGGGGATGCGGTGGGCTCCATCCTCGGGCAGGACATGGGTCTGTGTTGGCAGGAGCACTGCAAATGGGAGCAGACACCTTGCGTAGCCTGTGTTGGGCTTCCTTCAGCCTTTACTGTCTTTGCAGGCCTGTAACCTTCTGCGTGTCTAAAATAAGTAAAGAGGAGATGGGATGTGTAGCTGTGTGCGCCGTACAAGGGGAAAATCACCTTTCCCTCCATCGCGCTCTGCCGCCGCCCTCGATCCCACGGAGCTCCCTTCTCCCGAAGCCTCGCCACCACCTCGTGCTTTAGTGCGTATTATCTGGGAACTTATTTCAAGTGCTGGTATGTTTTAAGGATTGTGTGCCTAAAAATAATAGTATCAAACAGACAACAGTGGAAGGTCAAGGACTCAAACGGCTTAGAAGCTGTCCCCTTAGGGCAGCATCTGAATATGGAAAACTTGTGTGGAGAGTAGAGGCAGGAGCTGGGGGAGAGCAGCCTTAAAGCACTGTAATGCTTTCCTAAGTTCCCTGCCTGTTCTTGTTCCAGTCCCATGTTGGGAAGGAACCGTTTGGGATTCTTTTTACTGTTTTTTCTCCAGGGGCGATAAAACCGATCCTCTCTTTGGCTGAAGACGGGGTTGGTACCCATCACCAACAGATAGGATGCCACGGGGAGAGGAGTTTGCTGGGCAGCCATTTTGCCCTTCTTCCCCCAAAGCCTTTGCAGAAGGGCTCTCGTCGCACACAATGCCAAAAAACTGGCTCCAGCAGGTTTTGTTCGTGGCAGTACCCTCCGTTGGCAGCCCACACACAAGGTGCCCAGCATGGCTGCCCCCCCGTCGTGCCTTTTCACATTCATACCCACCAGGGGCATCATTACTATTGTTTGTAACATCTCTTGGAAAAATGAGTCATGGGCATTTTGCCTGCCCTCAGCAGGGAAACTCTGCCACATTAGCAGCAGCAACGCCCGCCCCCCCGCGCCGCTGCCTCGCATACCAGCAGGCCCCTTCGTGCAAGGAGCCGGACTCGCTGCGCTCAAGTTCGGTCGATATTGCCGCTTTTCTTGCCAGCGGCGACCTGGGCTTTGGGGAGGGTGTTGTTCCCCGATTCCCCCTGCGCAATAAGACTGGACGGAGTTCAGTTCAAGGTGGTGTAGCAAACTCTGTCACCCAAAAGACGACCCTGTTCCCGCAAGTC